GCGGCTGGATTTATTTTTAAATTTTAAAAACAAAAATGACAATGCCGTGTTTAATTCTGAAGTCCAGGTGTATTTTGTGTTTGGTGACCGACTATAAAATTTGAGCGAGCGGTGTCACCACAGAGGATCATATGAGCTGCCGAGCCGTTGAAGCCCGCAAGGCCGAACCCCGAACCCCGGCCTCGCCTGCTCACAAAGGCCGGATTCGAGCCCTGGCAGGCGGGAGGACAGGGATGGAGGGACGGGGGGTGGAAATGTTTATTTTTTTTTAATAAACATTTTATGTATAAAATATAAGGTTTTTTTTTATTATAAGTGAAGATTAAAAATAAATAAATGGTGCCGGGTTTATCATGAAATCCTGTTTTCCCTTTGACTTTATTAAATAATCTGTTAAAGTTAATTCAACTGAAAAATTATAAAAAGACAAAATTATTGAATCTCTCATATTTCCCTAAAACATGCTTAAAGAAGAGACACAGCCTTTGGTTCAACATTATTCTAACCCACAGATGTACAAATTACAAAACAAGAATTACACTTTAAATTAAAGCTTTAAATCAAAGCTAAACTTTAATTCAAAGCTAAAAATCTGTAAACAAGAAAAAAAATCTGTATACAAGAAACAAAACCACAATGAGTGCAAATACATCAAATGATGAAGAAAAACATAGAATTTTAGATATAGATATCCTGATGCTGCTCAATAATCCAGGTAGAAAAATCTAAAAAAGTTAAGTCTGGTCCTCTGGATGTTCAAAAAACAATCAAACAAAAAAAAAAAAGTAGAAATGTTTCTTCTTTCATCCAAAAGACTTCTTCAGTCTGAGGTGCTGTACTCAGCTCAGTCTTATATAAATAGCTATGAGCTGAATACAACAACTCAGACTGAAGAAGTCTTTCGGATGAAAGACGAAACATTTCTACATTTTTTTTGTTTGTTTTTTGAACGTCCAGAGGACCAGACTTAACATTTTTAGATTTAAATATAAATGCTTTTGTAGAATCTGGTTCATCAGATTTAATTCGGTTCAGTTTATTTATACAGCGCCAAGTCACAACAGAAGTCGAGTCAGGGCAATGAACAGAAATATTCATATATAAAATAAGTTAACAGAAACATTCATATATAAAAATAATAATTTAATAATATTTATCTGAGGATCAGACTGCTTTGAGTAACTCATCACAGAACTCTCATTAGCAGGACTTGGATTCTGGACACGCCTCCGGAATCGGCCCTAAAGTGCAGGTGCAAATCCAGGCTGAGCTGAGCCAGGCTGAGTAGGGGTGTTTAGGGCTGAGCAGAGTTGGGGCTGATTAGGGGCAGTGCAAAAGGGGCATTACTTGCTGGGACAAGTCAAGCCCAACTTCCGACAAAATATTGTACTCATAGTGTGGCTAGCTGTAGATTCCCTAGTGTTGACCCTCAACTGCGTGGCAAAGCATAACCCTACACGATACCTGATCCAGGCTATGGGAACGCAGCAGGAAGAATAGTAGCAGTGGTGATGGAAGGAGCAATATCCATAACCTTCCTAGCACATCTGCTGTACCAAACCCTGTCCTTACAACCACAAAAAGAAGACGTTGGACCCTGAAGCTAATTTCCCTTGTGATTTGGGGTCTGACATGGGGAGTGTGTTCTGTGCTGTATTGGACCAGTACTTGCACAGCAGTACTGATTATTATTATGTGGATGATAACCTACGCTGCTATTTTTAAAGGCAATTACAAAGCTTCTCCTGCTGCCCCGGAGGCGAACAAAGATCCAACTCCAATCCGATTTCCTTGGCTTAGATCATTAGCCATCCGAAGAAACAAACGTTGAATATTATAACCAACACCGCTTATTCCACCGTATACCTGATAACCATGCAGGCCCTTGTCCATGGACCACTCTTCAGGGTCACACCTGCGTTGCTGGAACCTCTGCTTCTCCTGGTACCAATTCACCTGGAGGCGAGCCTGGGAGCAACCCCTTCGCTGGTCCCTAAGCCTGAGGGATCAATCGACAGGGCGGTCTGATCAGATGTTCGGGCCCTGAGCAGTGACCCCATCACTTACATTTCATTGGCACCAGACTTGGCAGCAACACTCAGACAACTAGATGCAGCACAAGAGAGGTTGCCTGGATCTTCTGTCTCAGATCATATGGAGGTGTAGCCTGACGTTGCCACCCGAGTTGATCAGGAGGTTTCCACTGTACAAGATCCACTATTAGAGGTTGACCATGAAGAAGTTCTGTCACCCCCAACCCTCGCATGGGAACGACGACTTTGTACTCCTTGGAGAGCTACCCTTAAACCTGGTGGAACCATAACAGTGAACCCCCTTACTTACAAGAAGAAACACCAACGGCTGCCTCTAATCTTCTAACCCCTCTGATCAAGACATCGAACCTTGACGAACCTGCTACCGTTCTTCAGGGGCCTGTGATGGAGCACCCACAAGAAAGAAGGAATGACCGTAGTGATGAACACCTGTCAGCATCTGAGTGGTGCTCCATTGAACCAGTGACCCCCCACCCCTACACCTCCTGCATCAATCTGTACCTAGGAGGAATCGGAACAAGAAGTGAAAGCAAAAATGTTTCAGCCTTCACATGAGCCAAAGAAGGTTGGGCCTCTTGCTGGAGTAAAGAATCCTCAACTTCTCACCACATCGCCTGCCAAAAAACGCATGGAGAACATTGACATGAGTGAAATGCCCTTACTGGATACGTCAGAGGATGGCTGGCTGAAGGAATAACGTGGACAGGAACTGATTTCAATGAGGGGATGTTAAGTAATGTCGACTTCTGTGTGAAATCAGTTCTAAAGCCCACAGAATGCATCTTTGACCCCTCTAGGCAGAAAGGACCTGCAGGGCTCTTGATGTGTGTGTGCTCTTATGTAACGAGAAACAAGTAGGAGTAATCATTTACAGATGTTTGCTCTGTGTCTGTGTGTGTGTGTGTGAACAGAGCCAGTCTGTAGGCTTTTTCTCAGTAATGATCAGAAGTGCTGAAGCTGCAGGAATGTAAAAAATGTTTAAATGTTTGAAAATCATATAATGATTTTAAAATTAATAACTAATAGAAAAGGTGATTATACATGATTAAAAAAACTTGTGATTAAGTTGAATGTTAACTGCAGTGTTTGGCTGAAGTGAATAGAGCAATTCCTAAGTATTGAACAGTAGTGACCCTCCTTAAGCAGAACAGGGCAGTGACACTTAGAATGGAATGTTCCAGAACTGAATGTTCCAGTATGTTAGTAATGACAAGCCTCAAGAACCAATCATAGGCTTACAGCAGAGGGCTACACCCGAAGAGGCAAGACCAGGCTGGAACAAGTCTGGACTTGTCTGGTCTGGGCTTTAAATATAGCTCACTCTCACTGTTCTAGGCTGAATAGTTCTGGGAGCTGGAGAGACGTAGGACGGTATTGGCCTGCTCTTAGCTGCAGGAGAAGATTTAGACAATCCAAAATAGACTCCTTTTTAGTCAAGATAGGAGCATTATTTTTGTTTCAGCCCGGATTAAAGCCAAACCAAAATCTTCTACAAATTAGAACAGCTTTTTGGGCATGGGACACACCTTCCCAGGGATCTGGGAAAGGGATTTCACCTGCCTTTAACCAAAGATTTCTTCAGACAAAGGAGACTGACGATAATGGTAAGGGGACGCTCTGATTTACCATTCTTTTATAAATTTTACAAAATGATAGCGACAGCTCGACCAAAAATTAAGGGAATCAGATTAATATTATCAACATTTTGGGTCCTCTGTTCATGAATGCCAAACAGTGGAACAGGTTTTACAAAGACTAATAACAACAGCTTGGAGGGATTTCTTATAATTTGACCAGGGTTTTTTTTAAGAGTTCTTTGGGATTCTAACACATACTGGAACTCCTAGGCATCACCCTTCTAGATGAAAGGAAGGCTTTCCTCCATCAGCTCGTAAGAGCTTTAAGGACTCCTAACTCCCTATCTCTGCTCATTGGAGCAAGAAAATTACCACATTAGTTGGACTTTCAATCCTTTGGACATCAAAATCAATTAACAAGAACCTCCCTCAAATAATAAATAGACTTTTAATTACTGATTCCACTATATAACTAGATATAATCATTGTTTGGATTGTGCATTAATGCTGTTCACTTGCAAATCAATAAAGTAAAGCATAAAATGTAAAAATTTGGACTATCATTTCACCACCTCATGTTCTTGGATTTTAAAAGCTTGGTTCAATTCTAACTAAATAAGGAGGTTTTAAATGGGTTTCTCAGCTGTGAATATTAAGACAACATCCTAGAATCCTATTCCTGGATTCTAAAAAAAAAACAAAAACAGATCAGTAAGAATTGCCGTTCTACAACAAAGGTGAATGACCGTTAATGTGAGTTTCCCTGTGGACAATGATCCAACTCCAGCTGGTAGGTTGGGTGAGCCACGGGGTGAGATGAGGGTGTGGCTCACAGATGGAGGTCATTAACAAATCTGGGTGAGTCATGCTCAACACAGCCTAAGTTGAACTAACCTAAAATTACTTTGGGTAATACTCAAGTGTTGGGCTTAGTTTGTTATACCCTTTAGAGGAGAGGCTGCAGTGGGGTTTGGCCATAACTCATAACTCCACTGGGTAGATTAAATTATGATTTATCTTGTATTTAGTATGTGCAGCTTTGAGATAGGTGCGTTTGGTAGTCCGAAAATTATGGTAACTGTTTGTCAGTCAAACATTTGTTTCCATGGCTTTAGCTGGACAAAACTAAAAACTGTTGAATTCAGAAACCCTTCAAGCTCAGAAATCTAATATGGATTTACATTTTTAGCTTCCTTTATTTTGTTTGTAAAATTGTTGTTTATAATCAAATATAATTCCTGGTAAATATCCAGCTTGTCAGGCAACAAAATGGAAAGATCACCAATGAGGTGAGTACTTCCTCCGCAGAGTAAAATCCCTTATATATTCTATTTTTTTTCCTTTAGGTCAGTTGAAATATTTTGTTTACCTTCCTTTCAGGTGGATCCAGGGCTCTCCAGTTGTTGGCTCTAAGCTGGTGAAGCTCATCAAACTTCAGGCTGATGTTCTCTATAGACAGCTGAAGCATGTCCCAAAACCCTGCCAGGTCTGCAGATATGAGCCGATGGTTGATGCTGGGGTTCTGACTCAGTCATGAAGAGGCACACAAAAAGAAAGAATAATTACAGATTAGATTGTTTGATTTAATTAAATGGTCCACATATGAAGCCTATCATTGTAGCTACAAAATGAAGTGTAATTTTTTTTTTTTTTTTTTTTTTTTCATTTAGCCTTTATTTATCCAGGTTAGTCTCATTGAGCCACGAGAACTCATTTTCAAGAGAGACCTGTTTAGGGAGCACATGGTGGGGGTTAAGGGCCTTGCTCATGGGCCCAGAGTGGGGTGAATGAGGGTGGGGGCAAGTGTGAGTGTTTCACCTACCCCACCCACAATTTTGATGTTGTCGGGGCCGGGGCGTGAACCGGCGATCTTTGGATCACAAGCCCACCTCTCTAACCTCTGCGCCACCACTCCCCCCAATTAAAACCAAAGGCAGGACTAGTAATTTAAGAGAGTATTTTTACCAGCTGATTCGTGATTGTTGAATAAACTGAGCACAGTCTGCACTGAAATTACAATTTAATCCCTCTAAGTATTGTAAATATCATGTATGGACATGTTTGTTTTGAAATAGCATATTAAATTATGAAGCTTTTAATTTTATTTAATTTTCTTTTCAAATAAAATGTATTGCTCTCTAGAAAACACACACTAATGTAAAATAAAATAACTAATCCAAAGTAAATTGTTTAGTTTTTCTTTTGAGTAGATTTATTTTATGTAGTTAACTACTACTTGAGTAAACTTTCAAGAGAGTAATTATTTTTACTTCAGTATTTTGTCTTAGTAATTTGTTTTCTATAAAACAGCTAAGGAAAAATATCCAGTGCTTTTAAAGTTTGTTTCAAGAACATTCAAAAGCTAACTACTGAAACTAATAATTATGATAATTTGACCACAGGGACATGTTAAACTCAGGTGTGCCCTGTATTCAGCATCTCTGGTATCTTCAGTCAGTCATCAGTCAGTCGGCTTATTTTAAGGGTAACCGGTCTGTTTGGAATCATTGTGTCTAATACATGAACATGGACCACAGATATCTGAGGACAGAGTTGTCTTAGATAGTCAATGATTGTCTTATTATAGGTAATGGCTATCTGCTAAAAATAATCTCCAAGCAGCTTGATATTCCTCTGACTACAGCTGTTCAGATTATTCAGAAGGTTAAGGTCTGCAGGACTGGAGAAAACCTCCCTGGACATGTCCAAAAGAAGACAACTGCGGACAAATGGAAGATTTGGATAATATGAACAGTAACCAAATAATTTAGAATAATGTCCAAAGAGATCAGAGGTGAATTCTAAGAACAAGGTCCATCAATGGTAAATTGCACCATTGGTGGCTGTTTGAGCCAAAATTGACTTAATGGAAGACAGTGACCCAGACCAGTGGTCATTCCGTATGTTGAGGGGGTATCAGAGAAACTGAGACGTTTATTTTCTAAAACATAACTTCCCAGTGGCTTTTAAACCCCAAAATACATTACGGCAAAGACTGGTTCATCCCAAAGATCCAGTCCCCCGGCACGAACAGAGTAATGTTGTGTATGCTGTTCAGTGTCAGGAGGGTGATCAGTCTTATATCGGGGAAACTAAACAGCCACTGGCCAAAAGGATGGCCCAGCACAGAAGAGCAACATCATCAGGCCAGGACTCTGCGGTCTACACTCATCTCCAGGCCAGTGGTCACTCTTTCAGGGATGAAGATGTGCACATCCTAGATAGAGAGGAACGATGGTTTGAGAGAGGAGTAAAGGAGGCCATCTTTGTGAAAATAAATCGTCCATCATTAAACAGGGGTGGAGGCCTCCGGGTTCAACTGTCCCCCTTTTACAATGCTGTTATTGCTAGTATCACTCAACCCCCTGTGAACAGTAAACAGCCATCAGTGTGCTAATGATCCATTGTTAGGCTGATGGTCCTTCTTGACCATGTGAGCAGCTGGTTTTCGCTGTCAGCAGCAAAACTGGTTGATCCACTCTGAGAAGGTGCTATTTATAAGACTGAGCTGAATACAGCTCCTCAGACTGAGGAAGTCTTTTGGATGAAAGATGAAATGTTTCTACTTTTTTCTGTTGTTTTGTTTTTTGAATGTCCAGAGGACCAGACTTAACTTTTTTAGATTCCAGAAAACTGTTTCCCCACCACGCAGTAAACTTAAGAAGACCAACCAGTTAGCTGGAACTAAGATGGTTTCTGGGGGCCGTCCTGTCCCTCGTTGACTCCTCCCAGGCAGGCAGCCACAGCCAAAGTGGTTCAAGGCAACAAAGTTCATGCTCAATCATCCAGGTATCCGATCTGATATCAATATCGGTATCAGTCCCAATATAAAAAAAACCCCTTGTTGATCGAGTATTGGTGACAATGTGACCGATCCATGACTGGGCACATCTATTCAGTCTAATTCTATGCTTTGTGCTCTGAGTGACGTCAGGCGCTAGTGAACTCACTGCAGATTGTTTTTAAAATAGAGCGAGCGAAAGGATCAGCCATCAGGAACATTTCACACTACCTCAGCCAACACATTTGACAGCTATGTGCAATATGTGCATAGCGACAGTTCTAGGGGGTGTCACAAAAACTTCCAGTTAACACTCTAAAAAAGTTAAATCTGGTCCTCTGGACATTCAAAAAAACAAAACAAAGCAAAACAACAAAAATGTAGAAACGTTTCGTCTCTCATCCGAGAGACTTCCTCAGTCTGAGGTGCTGTATTCAGCTCAGTCTCTTAAATAGCACCTTCTCAGAGTGGATCAACCAGTTTTGCTGCTGACAACCAAAACCAGCTGATCACATGCTTAAGAAGGACCATCAGCCTAACAATGGATCATTAGCACACTGATGGCTGTTTACTATTCACAGGGGGTTGAGTGATACTAGCAATCACAGCATTGTAAGAGGGGGACAATTGAACACAGAGGCCTCCACCCCTGTTTAACGATGGACGATTTCTTTTCACAAAGATGGCCTCCTTTACTCCTCTCTCAAACCATCGTTCCTCTCTATCCAGGATGTGAACATCTTCATCCCTGAAAGAGTGACCGCTGGCCTGGAGATGAGTGTAGACCGCAGAGTCCTGGCCTGATGATGTTGCTCTTCTGTGCTGGGCCATCCTTTTGGCCAGTGGCTGTTTTGTTTCCCCGATGTAAGACTGATCACAGCCCTCCTGACACTGAACAGCATACACAACATTACTCTGTTTGTGCCAGGGGACTGGATCTTTGGGATGAACCAGTCTTTGCCGTAATGTATTTTGGGGTTTAAAAGCCACTGGGACATTATGTTTTAGAAAATAAACGTCTCAGTTTCTCTGATACTCCCTCAACATATGGAATGACCACTGGTCTGGGTCTGGGTTCCTCCTTTTCACCTGTTGGCTGACTGGAGTCCTGTTTGGGTTTCTTCTCTGCTTTCAGGAAGGCCCAGTTAGGATATCCACATTGCTCTAGAGCCTGTCTTGTGTGGGATTTCTCCTTCTGCCTGGCTCCTGAGTTAGTGGGGATGCTGTCTGCTCTGTGATACAGAGTCCTGATGACTCCTAACTTGTGCTCCAAAGGGTGATGGGAGTCAAACTGCAAATACTGGTCTGTGTGGGTGGGTTTGCGGTACACCTCAGTTTGCAAATGTCCTCTATAAGAGACTGAGACCTCACAGTCCAAGAAAGCCAACTTGCCATTTTTTTCATCTTCTCGTGTGAACTTGATGTATTTATCCACAGAGTTGATGTGGTCAGTAAAATGTTGGACTTCCTGAGATTTGATTTTAACCCAGGTGTCGTCAACATACCTGAACCAATGACTTGGTGGTGTCCCTGAAAAGGACGTCAAGGCTCTCTTTTCTACCTCCTCCATGTACAGGTTGGCAACAATAGGAGAAATTGGAGACCCCATGGCACACCCATGTTTCTGCCTATAATATTGCTCCCCATATGTGAAGTAGGTTGACTGCAGGCACAGTTTCAAGAGTTGACACAGTTGTTCTGTGGAAAGTGTGGTCCTGCTGCTCAGAGTGGTGTCTGATTTTAATTTTAAACCGACCACCTCTACTGCATCATCAACAGGAATGCACGTAAAGAGTGATGTGACATCAAAAGAGACCATTGTTTCATCAGTCTCCATGATGACATCCCTCACCTTATCCACAAAGTCCATGGTGTTCTGTATGTGGTGTTCTGAGCTGCCAACTAAAGGGATGAGTACAGACGCCAGATATTTGGAAACATTGTAAGTGACAGAGTTAATCATGCTAACGATTGGTCTTAAAGGATTATTGAGCATGCATCAGGATATTCCAGTTAACACTACCAACTTAATCAAGCATCTCTAGAGATTTCACTCTAAAGAGCACGCTAAGTTTGTTGAACAGAATTCAGCACAGTTTTTCAGTATCGGATCGTCATCGGATCGGTATAGACCGTCTCCAAACAGCAGGTATTGGTATCGGAAGTGGAAAAAGTGGATTGGTGCATCCATATTTTTTATAGAGACGTTTTGCCCTTTATCCTGAGGGCTTCATCAGTCTGAGGAGTTCCAGAAAACTGTTTCCTCACCAAGCAGTAAACTTCTTAAGTGGATCAACCAGTTTGCTGGAGCTAAAATGGTTTCTGGGGGCCGTCCTGTCCCCCGTCGACTCCTCCCAGGCAGGCAGCCACAGCTAAAGTGGTTCAAGGCAACAAAGTTCATGCTCAATCATCCAGGTATCACATCCAATAATTCTCAGTCAGGTACTTTTAGTTAACGTTTAAGGGTTTTCCTTCATTTAAAAATGGGGAATAAAAATGTTTGTTCATGTCTGTACATCCCGTAATCTACACAGATTATTAAAATGGCAAAAAAAGGCATTTTTACCAAGATTCTGATAAAACATTCAATGCAACTTTTTGCCTCACAAAACAAGCTAACAAAAAAATCCCCAAAATATTCCCAACAATATTTGTTAAAAAATCTTTAATCTCCTACGCAACAAACAAAAAGAAAAAAGAAAATAAACGTATTGAGGAATTAGAGAAATCTATCAAATTAT